CTTCTCAAACTAAACAAATTAGTATAACGAAAGTGTTTTTATCATCTGAAGACATTAACCCTTAATTAGTCTGATGCTTTTTACAGTACTAACAAAACTTCCTTCAGGGGTGAGTGTTTCTCATGCAACACAAAATCAAAAAGAAGATATTAAAAAAGCAAAAAATAAAGGATGAGTGTCCTAATGAACTTTTTTGATTGGGGGGAGAATCGGTGAGGGAGAATCAAGAGGAATAATCAAAGAAGGAAGATCAGAAGAAAAGAGAATCATGGTGGAAGAAGAAACCGATTAGCAACAAGAAAGAAAAAAAAAGAGAGAAAAGAAAAGAAAGAAATTTGTTGTGCAACTGCGGTTAAGGTTTTTTAGGGTTAAAATACCATAAATATCCTCTAAAAAATCTATATATTTTGCCAAAAATTTAAAAAAAAGTGAAGTCTTACATTTTATTTGGATTGAAGAAATTAGAGGAAAAAAAAAAAGTGAGGGAGAGAGAACACCTTCACTTATTTAGATAAATCATTTTAATAAAAAGAATAAGAGATGAAAGGAGATGGAACCCTCTTCTCCTCTTTTATTTTTCAATCATTTCGATTTTAAAAGATTGTGATAAATTATATTATTTAATTTACTTTTATTTTTAATTTTTTTTAAAATATATAAATATTTTATTTCAACTATTTATTTAATTAATAAATTTTAAAAATTTTATTATTTTTTATTTTATTTTTATTAAATTATTTAATTAAAGAAAAATATCATCATTTTCTCTCATTCACTTTTGTCGATCCAAACAAAACTAATATCAATATTTTCTTTCTCTTCAACTTCTCCTCTTCTTCCCTTCCTCTCCTTTATTAATTTTTATCCAAACATAGGCTTAGTGCTTTACTATGCTCTCAAACTTTTAACTGAGGGAGAATCAAAGAATGAGAATCAAGAGGAATAATCGGAGAAGAACAAAGAACAGAAGAAGAGAATCGAAATGGAAGAGGAGATCGATTGGCAAGAGGAAAAATAGAAAAGAAAAGAAAGAAATCTGTTCTTCAAGTGAGAGTAAGGGGAAGAAGTTAAGGTTTTTAAGGTTAAAAAACCATCAATACCTTTAAAAAAAAAGTAATTTGTCAAATAATTTTAAAAAAGGTAAAACCTCGTGTTAAGCTCTTTATATTCTCAATTATATTTTTAAATTTTTTATTATATTTTTAACTTATGTAATAAGAACACATATTAAAATTTTTTTTATTATTAGTTATATTAATATAATTAGTTTCCCATAAAAAATTTAAAAAATAGAGCAAATATGAGATTTTTCAAATATCATATTCTAAAGTGATTATAGCAGTAGCTTTCTTCGATGCTCATATCGCTTACTATTATAGTGGGCAAAGCAACTACCATTGGAAAATTGCCACGATATAGCTGTTTTCATTGTGTAGGAAGTCTTTAGAACGCTACATTATGGCCGCTATAGCGCCACTGTGAAAACCCATCACTAAGGAGGTGCCAATACCCTTGGGAGGTGTCAACACAGAGTGCCCAAAAGCAAACCTAGCCCACTAGGGACGCGAGGGATTTTGGATTTTTAAGTGTAAATCTACCACTACCTTAATGAAACCTCTATAAAGTTGTGAGAACCATTTCAAAAGGTTAAAGTGAATAAAATCATTAGTAGTGTTTGAGCGCTTTGATGTGAGATGGTGTAGTCATTACGGGCATTATTAACAATACTAAGGTATAATATATCCTAATAGATACTAATATGTATTTAAATTATGTTAATAAATGTAATTCTTTTAAGTAAAAATTTAGAATATCTTAATTGAAATTCAAACTTCCATTTTTATTTAATTTTGTTTAACTAGAGATTTAGACTCTAGTTAGTATCATCCTTGTTGTTTTGATTTTTTACTTTATTTTTTTTAAATCTCATAATTATATATTAATTCAAGCTCTTACAATTTTTTTAATAAAACAAAAAAAAAAGCATTTGTTTAGAATTAGCCTATAGTTTCTAAAGAAAAAAAAAAGAAAAAAGAAGAGATAGAAAAAGTGAATATTAACTATACTGACCTAATAAATACTTACTTTAGATGATGTAATCCAATTGATGTTGGGGTTTTGGAATGAAAGTAAAAGAGGGATGGCTTTATTAAAAATGAAAATAAAAATAAAAACAAAAACGTAACAGAGTGATAGTAAAAATGAAGGAAATTGAGTTAACAACTTAAATAGTTTAATGGTTATCAACAAAGTAAAAGTAAAAAATTTTAAATTCGAGTCACGTGTAATATAAATGGGGTGAAATAAGGGAGAAAAAAAAATAATTTTCAATTTGCCAAAAAAAAAAAAAAAAAAAAAAGGAGGAAAATTGAATGGCATTTAAGCCCAAGGGAGGGGGAGCCCAACAACGTTGGGTTGTACTTATATGGATATGAGAGTCTATATAAATGAGAAAAAAGGGTGAAATTTCACCGCTTCTCAGCCTCGGTTCCGCTCCTTGTTAAACCTCACGGGGCACAACCCCCCTTTCTCTCCCGCTACAAACTGCAGACTGTCAGAGACTAAAGTGAGTGGAGTGCAGTAAAGAAGGTTGGATTTCGGATTTCTCATCCTACTCTCAGGTAAGCTCCTTCACTATCTAGACTTTGAAGAATAGCTTCAACTTTTCGTATTTAGTTAAGTTATTAAGTTATAGCAGTAGCAGCAGATAGATTTTCAACAATCTGGATTATTTGTATATATATTTTTTAATTTTTTCAGTAAAGCTTCAACTATGGGATGTGTGTTATTATTATTTTGATTGAATTGAATCTTTCATTTTTGTTTCGACTGTTGCCTTCAACATTTTTTTTTTTTTT